AACAGATGGAAAACATGAAGCACACAAAGAACTGTGCAGATGTACTGGAGATTTATCAGAAAGTGAAACAAGAGTAACAAACACAAACATGAGTGATTGTGTGGATGGTAAATGAAAAATGTGGAGTTGCCGGATGATTGTTTGAAATGTACAGTTGTGAAATATGCTGATTGTTAATATTTCACTGGGAGGAATGTACTCAGCTAAACATTACACAAGAACTAGGTGAAAACAACTAGTACAGCTTTAACTATTAGTTACTTACTTAGTTTATTATACTCACTATAACCTACATAAATATAACAAACCAGCTCTGTAGTGTCAAAGAAATAAACTCCAGAAGTGAAACAGGAACTGACAACTTTCTACAGCAGACTGATGGCATTAACTCAAACACAGTTGATATGAAATCACAACAAACTTTTATTTTACTTGATTTATTATCATTTACATAACTGAATAACTTATTTCCTGCATTCTTTCATTTATTCACTGTCTTTCCACACTCTTCAATGAAAGAAAACAATATAAAGATAGAATAAAGAATAAAGAAACTGACGTCCACTATTTTCACAGTAGACTCGAGACTGAAAGCAGCTTCCTCTCAGAGCCTACATGTCAAGTCAATGTCACATGCCCATCTGGTAATCATTCATTTTAAATTGTTATTTCAGCAAAGATGGATCTTAGGGGTTGCCTGGTACTTCTACTACAATAAATGTGCTGTGACATTAAATGCGAAGACGGTAATAGTCATGATACACACAACTGTGGAACATTTCATAATATCAGTTATTGTATTTTTTTTTTTCTTTTTCCAGGGAATTATCTATATTCATTAACCAGCCTGGACCCCCTTTTCAGGATATTATTTAAAGGGGTCCCTGTTGTGTTGGCGCTTGGATTTTTGCTGATTTGGTACTGTCGTGGAACGTCTCACAGTGAGTTTCCTTATGCTACATTTATTGCATTACTGGTTAAACCAGAGTGACTCTGTTGCT